AGAATCTACAACAATATCTGAAGGTGAAGAAAGATTTACTTCAACACGTCGCGCGGTCACTGAGACTCCTGCGCCAGAAACTACTGTGGGATATACCACCGTACCCGGTGTAAGAATCACAACACCTGAATCTACAACTCGATATGAAGGTGAAGAAAGATTTACTTCAACACGTCGACAGGTCACTGAGACTCCTGCGACAGAAACTATTGCGGAATACACCACTGTCCCAGGTGTAAGAATCACAACACCAGAATCAACAACTCGATATGAAGGTGAAGAAAGATTTACTTCAACACGTCGACCGGTCACTGAGACTCCTGCGACAGAAACTATTGCGGGGTACACCACTGTCCCAGGTGTAAGAATCACAACAGCAGAATCAACAACTCGATATGAAGGTGAAGAAAGATTTACTTCAACCAGTCGACCGGTCACTGAGACTCCTACTGTACCCGTTGTAAGAATTAAAACACCAGAATCAACAACGATATCTGAAGGTGAAGAAAGATTTACTTCAACAAGTCGACCAGTCACTGAGACCCTTGGGACAGAAACTACTGCGGTATACACCACTGTCCCAGGTGTAAGAATCACAACACCTGAATCTACAACTCGATCTGAAGGTGAAGACAGATTTACCTCAACACGTCGACCGGTCACTGAGACTCCTGCGCCAGAAACTACTGTGGGATATACCACCGCTCCCGGTGTAAGAATCACAACACCTGAATCTACAACAATATCTGAAGGTGAAGAAAGATTTACTTCTACACATCGTCCGGTCACCGAGACTCTTGGGCCAGACACTACAGCGGTATACACCACTGTCCCAGGTGCAGGAATCACAAAACCAGAATCAACAACGATACCTGAAGGTGAAGAACGATTTACTTCAACACGTCAACCTGCGCCAGAAATTACTGCGGGATATACAACAGTCCCAGGTGTAGGAATCACAACACCTGAATTTACAACAATATCTGAAGGTGAAGAAAGATTGACTTCCACACGTCGACCAATCACTGAGATTCTTGGGCCAGAAACTACTGCGATATACACCACTGTCACAGGTGTAAGAATCACAACACCTGAATCTACAACTCGTTCTGAAAGTGAAGAAGGATTTACTTCAACACATCGACCGGTCACTGAGACT